AGACTCCCCACTGAATAGTTTTCATTTTGTTTACATAGATCTGGTGAAAAGAGATGGGGATAAGAGTCTTATTCAATAGTGAGTAATTGTTATCATGACTAATTGTGATTCACAACTGTACAGGTAGAAGTTTTGTAACAAAAAGGGGGGAGTAGTTAATCTTAAAGTCCAGGAACAGAGGACCCTAAGACCATCAAGGGAGAAGAGCACGAGTGGAATGTAGGACCTTGTCCAGAGAAGTAGTGACACCAGAGATGGAGGCGGAGGAGATGAGGACATGGAGAGCTAGAACAGCTGAGGACCCTAGGCTCATGGAAAGAGAAAGGCTGTGTGCTGGTGGCCAGAAGGCAGGCTTGCAGAATGTGCCCTTTGGTTGTTTGATTATATATTCCTGAGTGTTTTTGTGTCCATCCCTTCCCCACCAAAAAACAGAGGGAATAGTAGAAGCAAATACTGTTAAGTGATGATGCACAGAGGAGATTTTAATCATTGCAATGAAATGATGAGTGTAAAACCAATGTTCTCCCATATAAACTATCACACAATTCACAATAAAAACTTAAAAAAAAAAATGCAATAATTGAGGTCATAGCTCTTTAATACCGGCACTACCTCTAGATCACCAAGCTCCAACCCAAGAAGAATGAGGTTAGTAAGAAGGTCTCTGTACAGACTGCTGGCCGATTATCTGGAAGTAAAACACCCAGGAAGCAACTGGCTACAAAAGTTGCTTCCAAGAATGCACCCTCTAAACTTCATTATTACAGGCCTGGTACTGTGCAGTCCATGAAATTAGATATTTCAGAAATCCACTGCATTCTGAGTTGTAAACCTCCCTTTTACCGTCGAGTGCGATCAATTGCTCAGGACTTCAAAACAGATCTGGGCTTCCAGAACAGCTATTGCTACTTTGCAGGAAGCAACTGCAGCCTACTTGGTTGGCCTTTTTGAATACATTAACCCATCCATAACAACATGTAACAGTTATGCCAGTAGACAGCCAACTAGCATGCCACACACATGGAGAATGTGCTTAAGAATATAGTATGCTGGGGAAGATTTCATCCTTCAAGAAAAAAAAATGTCACTTCTTCCTATTTTGGTAGTCCTGAACATTGGACTTTTTCTTCCTGGGGGTGGAGATCAAAAGGTACCTAAGTATGTAATTGCAAATGGAAACATAGGGGACAGAAAACACGAATTAGTAATTTTTTCATTTTCATATGTGTGGATTTTTTAATAGAAATACACAGGGACAAAATGCAAATCAAAATGTTTCTGTGAACAAGATTAAGCAGTTCAATTTGATAACACTTGTAAATAAACCTGTTAAAAATTTTCTGGACAAGGCTATCATTTAGATATTATTAAAGCAAGTAAATTTCTTACTGATTACAACTAAATGATGTTTATAGCATTTTTTTTTATTATGCAATAGATTCTATCCATTCACTGTACTTTTCTGAGTTGTCCTACATGCACATACATGTATTTTAATGTCTGTTTTCTATGCTGTTCTTATTAGTTTGCTAATATATTAAATACACACATGGATAAGTCAAAAAGTATTACTACTAGGGTCCCAGTTTAAGCATGCACAGGTATATGCCAAACAAAACATGTTTAAACATATCTCTATGATCAGTGGATGACCGCAAACATGTTCTCTTACTAATACTTTCTTAGTCTCCTTAAGGTATCTGCAAAAACAGATCTAGTCAAAATAGCGGCTTCCAAGGAGATCTGCTGGCCCAGTTAAGTTCAAAGCAGAGAGGTCAGCACAGAAGATTATGGGGACTGTTTTATGGGATCCTAAATGGGTAATCTTGATAGATTTTCTTCAAAGGACACAGGACAATCATGGGGGCTTATGAAGTTGTAAAGAAGCTGAAAGTTGCATTGGTGAGAAAAAGGCCAGAAAAGTTTGCCAAGGAAATTTTTCTATCACAACAAAAAGTACCAAGGATTATCCTACTGAGAATTTTGTTGGGAAACTTTACCCCATTCACCCTATAGCCTTCACCTTGTCCCTTTAGACTTTTTTTTTTTTTTTTAATGTTTTATTGTGTATTGTGTGATAGTCTACATGGGGGAACATTAGTTTTACATTCATTCCATCATACATCGTCTCATTGCCATAGTTACCATCCTGTCCATGCATCATCGCCCAACTAAAGGGTCTACCCTACAATCCCGCCCACCCTCCCCTCATGGTCCTCAGCCCACAGCCCCTCTCCCTCTCTGGATCCCTAGTCCCCAGGCACTCCATCTCTTTGTGTCGTCCTCTCGCTTCACGTCATCTTCTCTGTCTCAGTCTCTGTCCTCACTGCTCCTCTGGGTGGGGTCCCACTCTCTGCTCTTCTCCATTGATGGTCCCAGGGCCCTGCGATCCTAGACTGAAAGGTTAATCACTCCCCTCTTTGCTATAAAATGTCCACCTTTAAATTTCCAGTTCTCACAATCAGTCCTGGTGGCAATCATTCACCCTTGCATCCCAAGGGACCCATCTGCATTTCTTTTCATCTGCCCCTCCCCGACAGGTCGGACACTACTCACTGGAGATTCCACCATCCTCCCGCCCTGTGGATCTAGGTTCCCTCTTGAAAGCTTGTAAGCCAGTCACCTTTAGACTTTTTTGTTCCCCAAACTCAGAGAACATTTTAAAAACAACATGATTCAAGTCCCTGAAGGATACCAAAAGCATTGTCTTGACATGGTTTAAACTGAGTGCAGAATTCTTCAGGAAACAACTGGAGAGATGGAAACACCACCTTCAGAAGTGCATAGATCTAGATGGAGGGTATGTCAAGAAACAGTAGCCTCCCATTTTTCTGTTTTTGCTTAATGAAAGTTTCTATTATTTTGTAGCAATACATCCTTTTTTTTTTAGTTTTTATTGTGAATTATGTGATAGTTTACATGGGAGAACATTAGCCTTACATTCATCCTATCATACTTCAGTTCATTGCCATGATTACAATCCCCTGCATGCATCATCAACCAAAGGGTACACCCCACAAGCCTGCCCCCTGGTGGTCAGCTCATAGCCCCTCTCCCTATCTGGTCTAGAGTCCCCAGCCACTCCATCTCTCCAAGTCATCATCTCTACCTCCATCTCTGGCATCACTGTAGCAATATTTTTTGACTTACCCTCATAATTAGTGACTAGTGTATCAAACGTTCTAGCTTGCAGTTACTATGAGAATTAAATAAAATCAAAGTGAACACATTGAGTCAATATTAGCTTATGCCATCCTTTTTTCTCTTTACCTTTGCCGTTTTATCTGTGGGAAACGTTTTAACTATATGCGAAAATAACACAGAAGGCTGCACCCAAGACCAGAAGCAAATGTATATGTTAGTCAATTACCTCAAATAACTCATTTTTTTCAGCAGCTGCTTCAATAGCAGCATCGTATTTAATAATTAATAGTTAACAATCTTCAAGGAATCCTTTAGTATTTTATATTTGAGCAAACTAAGTCTCACAAGGGTAAATGACTTATACAAAATTCCATGATAAGTAAAGCTAGAGTTCCATAATCTGACTTCAAGTTTATCTTCCTGGGAATCAGGAAACACAGAAAACAGAGCATTGCTTCTGAAAAAGGGATGTTGTTCTGTCCATTAGACTTTCCTTTTGAACAGAAAACAGAAAATCTCTTGGGAACCTTCCATTTTAAGCTATCAAAAAGTGATGTTTGATGTGATGTACAGCAGAGGTGTTTGTTTTTGTTACATTTTTTCTCTTTAGCATGCAGATGCTTGTGGTATCTATGCTGGTCCTTTAGAAGACTCTCTTTTTCTGAATCAAAGTGAAAGACTTTGCCATGGGGAAGATCGGAAGATTGTCTTGGGGAAAGGCCCACCAGAAATAAAAATTGCAGATATGCCTTTGCATTCTCCTCTCTCCAGATACCAAAGCACTGTGATTTCCCATGGATTTCGAAGACGACTAGTCTGATGAAAGAAAAATAAAGTAATAAAACATTTCAATGTGTTGGTATACCTGTCTTCTTCTCTTCTCCTCTTCCATTTACCCCTCTCTTTTTGTTAATATTTAAGTGCATGGTGGTGGTGTTTGTTGTGAAGTGCCGTCAAGTCAGTTCTGACCCATAGTGACCCTGTATAGAGTTTCTGAGGAGCAGCTGGTGAGCTTGAACTGCTAACCTTGCATAGTACTTTTGTATTTCACCTACAGGTTGAATTTGTTAACAATGTGGTTTCATCTGGATTCTCTAGAAGAGTAAAACCAATGAAGCATATATAAATATACAGCAAGAGCGATTAAAAGGAGACTTGGTAGTCAGTGCATTAAATGTTAGACTGCTAACCTTAAGGTTGCTGGTTCAGTTCCAGCAGCCACATGCAAGAAATGAGACTGTTTCCATAAAGATTTGAGTCTCAGAAACCGTAAGGAGCAATTCTACTCTGTCTTATGAGGTTGCTATGAGTGAGTCAGAATTGGCTCGATGGCAGTGGGTTTAGAGTTTGGGTTTATAGAGAAATTTATCTGAAGGGACTGGCTCATGCAATTGTAAGGAAATGGATCATACAATTGTGGGGTCTGGCAAGTCCCAAATCTGTAGGTCAGGTACACTGGAGGCCTCTGCTCATTCATGGGGTTATGGGGGTTGGCAAATTAAAAATCTACAGATAAAGCTGCAGGTCAGAGACTTCTGCCAGCTTATATCCAAGAAATAGAGGTCAGGGGATGATGATAATTCAGTGTCAAGACAGAGAGCAAGCTTTGCTAGAACATCCATAAACATACTGGAACTATGCCACACCACAAGGAAACTTCCCTTTCTGCTCACATCAGGTCACAAATGGGATGTGATTACATTGTGTGTCTGCCAAACCACTGAGAATCAAAGCCTAACCATATTGACACACAGCATTATCCATCCCAAAACAACTATAAAGCCATTGCATGTTGTTAAGTGCCGTCGAGTCGGGTCCGACCCATAGCGACCCTGTACAGGGTTTCCGAGGGTGTAAATCTTTACGGGAGTAGAAAGCCTCATCTTTCTCCCGCGGAGCGGCTGGTAGTTTCGAACTGCTGACCTTAAGGTTCGCAGCCCGATTCGTAACCACTACGCTACCAGAGCTCCTTTAGTAAAGGAGCATACTTTTAGTAAATCAAAGCTTTAGAAAGAAAAGAGGCTCTGAAAATAACTGAAGTGAAGTGGTGGAGCAAGAAAAATGGACTCACCTTTTGTTGATATTTCACACCATATAGTTAAGAAGCAGACTGGTCCTATTCTACCTTCTTCCCTCACCACATTTGTCCACCTTTCTCTCCTCCTTACCCCATATGTGTTGGTTATTCCCTTCAAAACTCAGTGTTAGACGAGACAAACTGAATTGTCAGAGTTTCAGGATATCTAAATTATTTCGATTTTCTGATTGCCTTTTTTGTGTTGGTTATTCCCTTCCAAACTCAGTGTTACATGAGACAAACTGGATTGTCAGAGTTTCAGGATATCTAAATTATTTTGATTCTCTGATTGCCTTCAACACTTCTTCCAGCCCTATACCACCAACTCACATTCCCACCAATACGCTCTGAGCAGTAGTGACTATTCAACATGATAATTACAAGTGTTTGGTAGACAATTCTACATACGATACATCATAATTTTAGCTAAGGGAGATGTATTTTCTGTATTTCCTAGAGCAAAGAATTTATTCACATAATTTTAACAACTGAAACATGGAGGCCAGTCTTCGTCACTCATCGCCTCACATAGGGCAGCCCGGTTCTGGTGTCTGGCGGTGTCTTAAACAGCCACCATGTCGAGCAAAAAGACAAAGACCAAGACCACCAAGAAGCGCTCTCAACATGCAACATCCAATGTTTGCCATGTTTGACGAGTCACAGATTCAGGAGTTCAAAGAGGCCTTCAACATGATTGATCAGAATAGAGATGGCTTCATTGACAAGGAAGATCTGCATCATACGCTTGCTTCTCTTGGGAAGAATCCAACTGATTCATACCTCAATACCATGATGAATGAGGCTCCAGACCCCACCAATTTCACCATGTTACTTACAACGTATGGGGAGAAGCTAAATGGGACAGATCTAGAAGTTGTCATCAGAAATGCTTTTGCTTTGATGAAAAAGCAACAGGCACCATTTAGGAAGATGACCTGCGGGAACTGTTGACTACCATGGGAGATCGGTTTATGGAGGAGGAAGTGGATGAGCTGTACAGAGCAGCACCAACTGACAAAAAGGGGAATTTCAATTACATTGAGTTCACACACATCCTTAAACACGGAGCAAAAGACAAGGATGACTCAAGGAACTTAAGCTAAAACCTTCCAATTACCTTGTCTTACTCTTATTTTATTTCCAAGAAATTTTTACCTCGCCCTCATAGGACTCATTGCATGCAGTTAGCATCACAGCTTTGCCCTTTTACGGATGTATTTATTCCAGACCTTTCTGCCTCTTAGCACCCTATATAATCAGGTTGGGAATGGGAATATGGTTGTAAATTGTATTGAAAAAGAGATTAAGAAAAAAAAATCAACAAATGTGAAATCCCAGGAAAATATTTAAAAAACAAACAAACATGGAGGCCTGGTGTGGCACTACAGGATACGCACTGGACTGCTAACTGCAAGGTCAGTGGTTCAAACCTACCAGTCGATCCTTGGGAACCCTATACAGGATTGTTGTGAGTTGGAATAGACTTGTCAGCATCTAACAACAAAATATTACTATAGTAGGCCTAAGCCATCCATACTTCATCCAGCCAAGTGATTATAGCTGATAAAAGCACCAAAGAAATTATTAATAAAAAATACAGATGTTGCTCTAACATCAACTTAAAAGTAATAAATATGAGTGGTCTTCAGAAAATTTATGGAAAACTTATATTATTGAAAAACCATGCAAGAATCTCAAAATATTTTACACCAAAACAAACTCACACTAGCTTATTATAACATACCTGAACAGGTTTTAGTTTGAGGAACTAAGAAGGATAAAACAGTTTGAAAACAGCTCCTATCAGAACAACATGAATTCTGCTAAGATTGAAGCAAGAACAAAAAATTTATGATAACTGGGTGGAATAATGGTGAACTAATTGGTGCTTTATGAAAAGTTTATGGGGGCAATGCCTCAAAGAAATCAGCAATTTACAAACGGACCACTTGTTTTAAAAAGAGACAAGAAGCTGGCAGACGAGGCAGAAAGGCTGTACAGACCCTCTACAATAAAGATACGGAAAACCAAATGAAATAGGTACAGATGATAGTCCTGGAACTCAGCTGCACATGAAGGGATGGAGAAGTAGACTGAACGCTGACTAGGAGAGACAGCTGAGCAGACATGGCTGTGGTGAGACAGGTGCAACCATCTTGAGCTTTTGTAAGCAACTTCAGAGACAAGAAAACATATCTGCATTTCAAAAACATACCTATGGCTTGCAGAGACAAAGGTGTGATGTTTTCCTTATTCCTTATACATCCCTGGTGTGTGGCTATATCTGTACAGGGTGACCAGCCATGATGTGGCCATCTTGAATTTTGTGGGCAACTTGGAAGGCAACAGGGCAAGTAGGTGGTGCAGAGGTCTACTGCTTATTTTATTTTCACTTTTTTTCTTTTTATTGCGAAGGTTTGTAGAGTAGAGTGGTGTTTCAAATATTTGACAATTCATATACTTCGTTTCATCTCATTGACTGCAATCCTAACAATGAGACATCACTGATCCCACTTTCTCCCTGTGTTTCCTGTTTTCATTCTTTCTTCTTTCCTCTCTCTTACAAACTTTGTCCTCGGGTAAATGCTGCCTCTTTTATTTCGAATGGTTGGTTATTCTAAGGTGTTATTTTCCCCCTTATAGACATGTCTATTGTTTAGCTGAAAATTGAACCATGAGGTTGAGTTCATTTCCAGACCAGAAGGGCGCTCAGGATCATAATTTCAGGGGTCTCACCAATCTATCTGAGTACTAAACCTGGTTTACTTTTT